CAGAGGCACTTGTGACATGGCTTGCCAGTAGAAGGTAGACATAGTGTCCCTCACAAGTGCCTGCTCTAGGAAGACCAGGCTCACTCTGATACCACTAGCCTAGCCAGCTCACACAGGTGCAGATAGACAAGGCGTACCCTGAGGGTCAGCAGCAGGTACTGTTACCCTTCCCTCTCTGAGGTGACAGGCCACTGGCCATCATATGCTAAATTTATGTGGGCCTTCAGCCTGGTAGGTCTAGGCACAGGATAAAACAAGCTCTCTGGGCATTCTGTCCCTCAAAAGGAAGAGGGCTCCAGCACTCACCTCACCAGATATGCCCTTAGTTGAGTCAGCCATTTGCTGCCTTGACAGAGCATGAGATGGGCAGTAATGACACCCGAGACAACATGCAACCAGGAACTGCACAGTAAACACTAGCAGCAGACATGAGACCCACTCTTCTGCTTGGAAGCTGGAGGCCCACATTTCAAAAGTGTATATTCTTGGCAAGTTCACAAGTCACAGATCACTAGAATTTTTACAGAAATGTTCTGCAGTATTCTCCGAAGGTGTGTGACTACCTGAGCATTAGCCTCCAACCAACAGTATTTGCAGGCCCATTCACACAGTCCTGGGACCCCAGGGCTCTCCTGCTCAGCAGATAACCACCTTGAGGATTCGCTGCGAAGTGTCTGCTTATATGCTCATGTCTGTCTTTACATACTTGCCTCCTGTGTTCAGGTTTCATGTGGGTTAAGACCGCCATTTCTGAGTCCCCACTCAAATCCCTAGGGCATTGGCTGAGATATCTGTGTAAGGAAACACGCCAGGTGCAGTGCTAGGACCCAGGAATGTTTGGTCTCACAGCTGTGGAAGAGCTCCAGCCAACAGGCATCACTGGGGCCTGCAGACAGGTAACCCATCCCCATGAAGTCAGAGGTGATGGTTGAGGAAGCCTCACTTGCTACAGCTGTAACTCGATAGCTGTCTATGAATCAAGATTTCAGGGGTAGCTGTGGCCAGGGGCAGGACAGCTGGTTTCCCTGGGCAAGAGGCCAGGCCCAGAGATGGCACCTCTGGATGGCAAGACCAGACAGTTAGGACTTCCAGACGGTGTGGGCACCTTTAAATCAGGCACATTTACTCCTAAACCCATTACCTCAAAGAATTCAAGATTTCCCCACAGTGTGTTCCCACATTCACACTGGCCAGGGAATGCCTGGCTATCTGAGGATGGGATGCGGCTCAGTGGAAGGGCCCTTGCCTAGGATGTATGAGGCCGTAGGTTCAATGCCCAGCACCACAGAGGGAAAAAGAAAGAAAGATCCACACCTATGAAGGGAGGTGGTGTGCTGGCTTGAGGCCTGCCCTGTGAAATGGGATCTGTCCATCTTTACTAGGGAGTGGTGATAAATGAGCAGAGACAGACACTGGTCAGGACAAGCCACTTTATTTAAGAGCTCTGACAGCCCAAAGTGGTTTAACATAGATGCATGGAAGATTTATCTAGATGATAAAACACCTGCACTCAAAAGGCACATAAATTATGATTTTGCAGGTTTTATTTTTCCTTTACGAGTAACATTATACAGACCGAGCAGGTTATATTTAGGAATATATATGTATATGCATATATGCATGTAACTGCAATTAATGAAAAAAAAAGAGGCCATGAATTTGATAAAGAGCAAGGAGGGGTATATGGGAGGGCTTAGAGAGAGGGGAGGGAATTGTATTATAATCTTAAAAAGAAAAAACCTCATAATCGAGTGTTTTAATAAGAGAAATACATATGAGGCTGATAGCTCTTCATACACATGGCCTGACTGTCTAAAGCACCTCTGCTACCAGACAGGCCTGATTCAGAACTGAACTCATACATCTGTGACCTTCATTTTCCTTGTGGTGGTGGTGCACGGGAGGACTGATAAACACAATACAATACCAATAGCTATCACTGACTAATAACTTTTCCATACTCCATCTGTGTGCTGAGGTTAGCCCTTCAGGTACTTATCTTGCTTATTATGAGTTGGGTATGATTTCCGAAATAAAAACATAAATGCTAAGACTTCAGTCATATGCTGTGTTATGTAATTGGAAAGCCATGGGGTTATCCATCAGGGTGCCTCCTCCATGAAAGCTTCCGTCCTCTGCAAAGCTTAAGCACATTATTTATTCTTCTCTGACTTCATACCCATGTTTAACACACACACACACACACACACACACACACACACTTACTTCAAGAAGTTCTCGGGTTTATTTTTATTTGTTCATTCACTCATCTGTTTGTATATTTTGAGCATGGCTGCCTAGTGCAGGGCTTATAATATTCCCCAGCTCCTAAGCTACCTGGCGAATGAGGTCATCCTCAGGCACTAACCAAAGCCATACTATAGTCATAAAGATAACGAGGTCAGTTAGAGCAACTCTAGCCCCCTGCAGGGCCCTCATCCAGTCATGAGTTAAAGACAACTTTAGACCTGTGGGGTAATTTCTCCTTTTTTTTTTTTTTTTTTTTTTTTTCTTTTTCTTCTATTTTCTCTGGCCCAAGTTTTCTCAGTCTCTTGGGCCTTTTGGCAGTACAGCTGGACTGAGGTCCACTATCATGTAGAATGTCTGTCATTTGGAGGCTGGTGCTGTCTGAGGAAACCATTGCCACAGATAAGTCACCCCCGACTAATCACCCGGTCCAGCTCCTCATCCCCCACCACACTTCCCTCCCCACCTGTCAGTGCTGCCCGATAAGGAAGGGGCAATACGGGTAGCATGGTAGCTTCCTACATGCTGGATACATGCCAAGTATTCTGGGTATTCAAGATCCCAATGGCCTGTAAAGCAGGCAATATTGTTCTTGCTTTCGTTTATTTGGAGAAGAACAAAATGCCAAAAACCCACTAAGCCTGAACAATCCTCACTGCCCAGGGGACAAGTGACATCTTCAGTTGCAAAGCTGGGAAGTCACAAGCCTATGGCCACACTGCCATGGCTGCTCTTTATCCTTTCCTTCCAACATCCTTTTAAAAATCCTCTATTCAATGCTGCCAGGCTCCTCCCTTAACTGTGCTCCCCATTCTGTTCTCTTAGAGAAAATTCTGAGTCTATACCAATAGTGTGGACAAGACCACAGGAGACATCAGACTCATTCAAGGCCTAAAACATACCAAGCCTCTTTCTTTACTCATTGTTGTTACATATATATGTAGCTATGTATGTGTGTGTGTGTTATTATATGTACTAATTACATGTAACAACAATTAATAAAGAGAGAGGCCATGAATTTGAAAGACATCAAGGAGAATTCAGAGGGAAACAAAGAAAGAGGGAAATATATTACAATCTAAAAATATAAAGGAATATCAACACACACACACACACACACACACACACACACGTACGTAAGTACTAAGTGACCTACAGGTGTTTCTGGAAGTACACAGCACTCTCTCAAATTTGTGCTGGTCTCAAGTTCTGAGGGATCCTCAGCCAGGGACCAGTGAGATGCTGCTGAGGAGTCTCCTGGCTGATCTTAAAAAGTGACACCAAGAACTGGGAGCCACTTGTGAAGGAGTGGGGGCATGCTCTCTGGGACTCTTCGGGGCGGGCAGGATCAGGGAGAGCTTGCTGGGAAATCTGTACCCAGACAGAAGCAAGGCAGCTTTCTTCACAAGGCTCAGATCAGGTCCAGGAGGGTCACATGGCCAACCCTGCACAGGCTCCAGGAGGGCAGGTCTTCGGTCTGCTTCTCTGAAGCCTTAGTGCCAAGGAGAAGTCATGAGTCAGTGTTTCAGAAAGAAATGACTGAACCTGTCCTCCACTCAGAGAATAGGCTGTGTGAGTCTACTCACATGTCAGAGGAGAATGACCAAGAAAGAGGAGAAAGACCCCCAAGTTCAGTCCTGAGGAGCCTAGCCTCCTTGTAAGACCCTCAGCCCCACCCCTCCCTGCTGTCCTCAACAGCTCTGGAGGGTGCATTCCGCAACCCATTTCCCAGTGGTACAAGCAATCCCATTTTAGCACAGAGGCAACGTTGAGGCACTGCTTGACAAACGCCATGACCAAAGCAACTCAGGAGGGAAGCCTTTCTTTGGCTTATGCTTCCACATCACTGTCCATTAACGATGGAAATCCAGACAGAAGGCACGGAGGACTGCTGCTTCCTCGCATTTCTCTCAGTTTATACACCCCAGGGCCACCTACCTAGTAAGGGCTTGGAAGGGGTGTGGTGGGACCGCCCACAATGGGCTGGGCTCTTCCTCATCAATGTTAAACAAGAAAAAAAGCCCTGACACTTTTGTCACCAGGTTAGTCTGATGGGACATTTTTACCATCGAGGTTCCTCTTTCCAGATGACTTTCGCTTGTGTCAAGCTGACAAAAACTAACCCACGCAGGAACTTGCAGGCTCTCTGCAGGCCAGTCTTACTGACCTTCATTCCCCAGCCCACATTTTCTCCCGAGAAAATCCATTCCTGAGTTGTCCACCCTGGAATTCAGTGATTCACCTCGTAGCTTTAATTCAACAGGGTTTGCAGGCAGGGAACTTGATAAAACCTCTCCAGCACTCTGGGCTTTTTTTTTTTTTTTTTTTTTTTTTTAATCGCCACAGCTCCTACTAACTTGAACTTTCATACTTTAACGTATAAGTTTGTCTTTGCTAGTCTGAGCTCGGTGGAGTGGCACGCTCCGCGTTATGGCTAATCCCTGGGACCCGAGTACTTAAGTCAGTGGAAGACTACCGCATTAACACACAGTAAATTGTTGCACGCTTATTTTTAACTGTATATGTGCTGCAGGAGGGATCCGAACCCACGTCAAGCCGATCCTGTCTGTCGGAAACGTAACAGTGCAGCTGGCACGGTTTTGCGCTCCGCAGCTAACGAACGCCCTTGTGCGCGCGCGTTCCCGGGTCGCCGCCGCCGCCGTGCGTCACGTGGGCGCGGTATGAACGCGGGATCCAGGGCCTCGTTGGCACCCACGCCGGCAGAAGCGGGCAGCCAAGGCCGTTGTGCTTACCTGCGCGTCGCTTGGCTCCGCAGCGGCACCCGGAGAATCTCGGGGGTCAACAGGAACCACGGACCTAATTAGTGCTCAGCCAGGGAGGGGATCCGGTTATTCGCCTTGACCCAGGCTGGGGGCGGGGCCCAGAGCGAACTTGACCTTGAAGCTCCCCACCTTCCCGTTGTGGGCGGAGCCCGGGGGAGTAGGCGCCGAGCCTTGTGCCCCTCCCTGAGGGTGGGTCTGATGAGGCTCCGCCCCTCTCAGGGCCCATCACCACGCCTAGTGCCCCGCCCCCTCTCTTCAGGTGCCCAGTAGGTTCCAACCCTTGACCTTACTGCTTCTTGTTTGTTTTTATTTTTTCGGTTTTGTGTTCCGTTTATTTCTTTCAGATAACTTTACTCTCTTTTTTAAAAGTCTGAATTAAAAATATGTCAAGCAGAGTATGGACACTTCTTAAAGTGTAAAATATCTACTTATGAAAGCCTCAAGCTCCACCTATAGCTCCTTTTCCTCATCAGTCCCTTTTCTTTTGATGGTCACTTCTTGTCGCCAAAAAAAAAAAAAAGAAAGAAAAAAGAAAAAAAAGCTTACATAGCGATTTCTTGATTTATCTATTGACTTTCTGCTGTGTTAGATGAGGATTTACTCTCTTCCTGTGCCCCTGCTTCCCTCTTCTGACACATTTACACCTCTATTCTCCAGTTCTGCCCTGGTGAGGATGAAGGTTGGGGGGGGGGGTCCTTAAGCTGACACAGTTTGGGGGATGGGGAAATGGGAGCTATTTTAGTAAGAAGATACAATTAGGGCTTTGTAGTGAGTATATTCATTCATACTAAGAAATTACAACCAAACCCTTAGAGATCAGGTCTTACTCCCTGAGGTCTTTGTGTAATTTAGGACCTTAATTTGCTTTGCTAATACAGTGTAGCTTTTCAGCCTCCCAGTAACCCTCCATAACTGCCTAACACAAGGATCTTGTGGGGAGGAGTCCTTAAGACCGAGTTCACCGGTGTCTGTCAGTGCTTACGGCATGAGTTGGAGTGTGCAAAAAATAATTCCATCGAGGATGATGTCAAGGTTTTGTGACTGCTGGACATTTAATCTCTTCCTCTTCCTAACCACAACAACAGATGGACTTCCCAGTGTGGGGAGTGCTTCAGGACGCTGGCTCTAGTCCCTATTGCTGTCCCCAGCCCCTTGCAATCTCCCCACACTCTTAGGAAGGGCCACACCTTTGTCTTTGATCAATACATGGGCACACAGGTAGCCCTCACTGAGCACCTAGGAAAAGGGTACCTCCCCACTCAGGTAGTGGACTCCATGCCCTCTGGGTCTCTTCTTGGAACTCACTCCAATCCCTCTCCATAAGGTGACCCTGGGCAAGCAGCTCACATACTCTAGTTTCAGTTTTCCCTATAATCGGCAGGGTTATAGCTACCACACTGGATTTGGAGGGTAAGTGGCAGAATAGCTGAGTGTACAGTGTCCTTTGGATATCCTCGTACCGATGTCAGTTTGTGTGCCAGCAGGTGGTTTTTCACCAGCTTGGAGATTTTTGTGAATATATGTAGCGTATGGTACTGCAGGTTGGTTCACTTCCATAAATTAATCAAAGGCCAAGTCTTTCTGAGTCAGGACCTGGGGCTGGGGAGGCAGAGACTAGACAGAGAAGAGCTTGAACAATGACTCTTGCAGAACAAGCATTCTAACCTGCGCCAGTGAAGACTAGGGCCTGGCTGAGGAGGACACGGGTTTCCTGGACAAGAAGTAGTATGTGCTTCTGGAAGGCACTCGCATAGCAGCCAGGCTTTAGAGAACACAGCAGGGAGAGGCAGGGCCTGAGAAACCCAGTCTGGGCATTCTGAAGGTAAGTGGGTCCCTGGCTGTAGTCACAGCTGGCTACTAGATCATAAGCATAATGGGAGCTTAGGGGTAAATTTAATTTCTCCACCACTCTGTTCACCAAAGGAAGATGTCTAGGAAATGACATCCCAGAAAGGGCAGGGGTTTGATGTAGAAGATGTGTCTGTCTCTCGGGGTCTCTCATACACAGACCACAGGACAAGCAGTTGAGTGATGGGAGATGTCATTCTGTAAATATGTTTCTCTTATTAGTTAATAGGTCAATAGGAAAGCAAGATAGGTGGGACTGGGAGACAAGGAAGATTTGAGGATAGATAGAGGGGGAGATTCAAAATGTAGGACCGAGAGAGAACTTCGGACACTCTCTCTGGCAAGATAAGACCACATGGAAAAACTTAGATTAATAGAAATGGGTTAATATTTAAGACAGAGCTAGCCAATAAGAAATGTTAGTAACAGGCCAATAGCTTCTAATACAGTGTCCCTGTATGTTATTTGGGGCTGTGGGGCCAGGCTGGCAGGAAAACATGCTCGTAACAGTTGAGTCAAAGTCATTTATTCATGAAATATAATAAGAATACAACTAAGGAGTATAGCATAGAGGACAGGGGAAATGCCCAGTGAGGAGGCACTGTTGAGCCAGCACTCCTGTATAACAGGTGAATCTTGAAGGAATGTTGTAGAAAGCAGTATGCAGAACAGGGCTTGAGGTTATCTTACCCAAGGGGATCTGCAGAAGGTAGGTCCCCAAGAAATAAAAACATGCTGACAATTCAGAAATTATTTCTAGGCATAAAATTCTGATTACCATCATGAAAGCAACACTTGTATAATGCTACCTGACTTGTTGTCTTCTGTCACCCAATAGGTTCTGAGGCTGTCTCCCTCTGTCAGAGCTCTTTGGGTAGCCATCAGAGTGTAGCTAGCTGAGAGTGACAGTCTTAGGCTGTGTTCTGAGGACCTTCTGAAGAACTGGTCCTCAGAAGAACTGTGCATGGGACCATTGACTGGCCCACCTCTGCAAGTGGATGAACCCTTCTTAACTTGTCTTCTAAGCCCACGTTCAGAAAGAGCAAGCTTTGGTTGAATAAAAAAAAAAATAGGATGTGTGAAAGGAGATTTGTAGACTTTTAAAATGACCAAAGATGGGCAGGCTTTCAACCACTGCAAATGCCTTAGAAAGTGGGTGCTATCTTAGAACCAAAGACCTGACAGATGACATTCATGCCAAATCTTTCTTTCATGGTTATTGAAGCAAGCCTCCACTAGAAAGCCTCTATGTGAGCGAGATGGATTCTTTCAAACCCTGAATCAGGCCACACCACACAGAAGCCCTTACTGGCTTCCATCACAATTGGGCTGAAATCACAAGTCTCCCTCATGACCCACAAGGCACTCATAAATTATGTCCTGCACACTGGCCTTTCCTCGTCTTCAGTCTCCTTGGTTTTGCTGTGCTTTCTCTGACACTGTGGGGAGTTTTAATAGGAAAAGTCCCCCATGTACTTGTGTTTTGGGTGCTTGATACTTACTTTGTGCCTTTTTGGTAGGCTGTGCAAGTTTTAGAACATGGTGCTTAGCTAGCAGACATAGACCACATCACAGGGGGAAGGTGTTGACTGTTATAGTAACTGGCTTTGAGCCTCCCTGGTTTTGGATCAGGCAAGCTATGAACAAAGCCATACTACAAGCCCCCAACACGATCCATTTAGGCCACCATGTTTCCCCACTCCCCCCCAACCCAGTGAACCATGAGACAAAGCAGATCCTTTTCTCCCTTAAATTGTCTGTGTCAGGCATGTAGTCACAGTCGCGTTGAAAAGAGTCGTTGATACAGGCACTCTGGCTCTGTGTGAGCCAGCACTCACGGGTGGGATGTGCCTCTCCCACTCTCCAGGCCACTTGCCCAACTCCTTAGCCTTCCATTCAACCAGGCTGCCCTCGGAACAGGGAACGCTCCATACACCACCCCTTTTACAGTATACAAGGTAGAAGTACATTTCTACCTTTTAGCCTGTCTCTCTTTAGTATACAGTCATGAGAGACTGACTCTGTAGTCCACTTCTAGGACAGTGCCTAGGACCCAGCAAGCATTCAAAAAGTATGTGTTGAATTAATGAAAGACTGAGTGAATGGAGTGAATGAAATTTAAAAAAAAAATATTGTGGGTAAGCACAAACATAAAAGTCATTCTAAAATTTGGACTTCTAGCTATTCCAGCTAATGTAAACTAGGTTCTTCTCACACTAGAAGAAATTGTTGAGGCAAAAAGGGGAAGATGAAGAGGCTGAGCTGCATCCCATAATGTGATTCATAATTACAGCTGAGTTTTTGAGTGAGAAATTTTGCTATTTTATATTTGACTCAGTGTCTGTGTTAAATATTTAAGTCAAGGTTAGCTTGGAAGGCTGCATACTCATTTAAAGGTAGTAAAGAGAGGGGTAAAAAGGTTCCCCTGGTCATTTGAATAATTCAGCATGGTGTTCTATGGTGCCTGTTGGTGTTTGAGACCCCATGATGATAACTGGTTACCTGAAAATAGAGGCCTTGATCAAATATTTAAGCTCTCACTTATTTTCATTTTTTTTTGCATATTTTGTGTTTCTGATTCTCACTTTGTTTTTACCCCCGCAATCCCACAGTTCACACCAAAGCTAATAGAAATGTTTCATGGATTATTAAATGCAGCTAAGCAGTAAGCTTTTTCTAGAATATAAGGCCAGACCGAGGCTGCTCTGCTGTTTTAACAAAATATTTTTTTTCCTTGAAGGTGCAAAATCTTGAGTTTACAAAGCAGCTCTCTCCTTCCACACTGATTTTTTTTCCAACTTTATATAACTGCAAAGGAGTCTGCAAAGGAGGAAGCCGGGGAATGAACAGTGCATGCTCCCTGAGACCTGACTCATGGATGTAATTCAGATGCTTACAAGCAAACATGGCTGAGACAACTGTGTTGCAATTAAGGAAGAAAGGAAGACACCAATTAGTGCATGCTTGCTCTTGGAAGCCTTGGACTGTGGTACCACTTAAAGCCAAGTGCGTCTCAGCATCTACCTAGACTTGGCTGTCCTACAGGATTGTTCCAGTAGCAGCAGCACCCCATTTTTGAATTAGCTTCCTAATGGAGCCTCTGCTGAAACCTGCATCCAGGCTTTGATGTTCATTTGGACCTCCTTGGTCTGTAAGTGATCAAAACTGCAGCCCTC